CCGCGGCCCCGCCTCCCGCGGCCGCCCCTCGCCCGGCGTCCCGGCCTCCAGCTCTTACCATGCTTGCAGCAAATTGGCCACCTCTGCTGGCATCGGAGGACGGGGTGCACACGGCTCCCGGGCCCGGGCCGCCCCCCCGGACCGCCGCCGCCCCGCTCCTCACGATCAGGAGAAAGCCAGCTCTCAGGAGGCGGCGGCGGTGGAGGCAGCGGCCTAAGCTCTGAGCGTCTCCGCCGTTGCTATGGCAGCGTCCCTGGCCCCGGGGACTGGGAGCAAAGGGCGCGCCGGCCCCCCCTCGTGGTCAGCGAGCGCCCAGGGACCTGTGGGGCCAGAGAAGAACTCCTGGACGAGCCTGAGTGGACACACGCGTCCACCCAGAGAGGGCACCTCCTGAGCGTCCGCTCCCCGGGGTACCACCCTCCCTGGCCTTTGGGCAGGACGTGCCATGTCCCTAACGCCCAGGGATGCACATCGCAGGGCCCTGTGGGTCCCAGTTGCCATATTCAGGTTATTCACTGCTATTTTCGCTTTAGGTTTTGCGATCAGAAATAGCTACTCATCCTTATTTTTTACATCATTTAGAAAACATTAAGCAACGAAACTGTAAAATTAACTGGGATATAGGGGGACTGCCTGCCAAAGGGCACAAAGACACTTTGGAGTATAATAAACAATATTCTATATTTTGATTGTTTTGTTGATTCCCCAGACATGCACATTTGACAGAATTCATCAAATGTATTCACCGAAAATAAGGGTGCATTTTGTATAGGATACCTCAATAAATCTGTGGTGTAGTTAATTGTATTTGATGATATGCTTTCTACATTTCTTACATTAAAGATACTTTTTTAAATGGACTCTTTCTTCTTCTATGGGTTGGCCACCTAAGTTAACATTCTGATAGAAGTACAAACCAAAAAAAACTTCCCCAAATATTTAATACTTTGTCTTTCCAAAAGGATGTATTTTTCAAAATGTGAAGGTAAAAAAAAAAAAAATTACATGGAGGGGAACTTTAACCATCAGCTTTACCATCGGGTTTCACAGGGCTCTGGTATCTACCTTACAAACTTGTGTGGCAGCTGCATTCTGTTTTTTGGAGAGGCTAAAAAATTTCTAGCAGCAACTTGTAGACCTCGGGCCTTTCATTCTTGGGGTCTTCTGAGGGCTGCCTGTGGCTACCACAGAGATCAATGAGCTGAGGAAAAGCCAGACATTCCTCAATCCACCAGGGAGCCCTGGCTTGGACCAACCATCAGGAAAACTTTTGTCTTTCCTAACAGCCAAAGAACAGAGGAAAGAAAAATACAATTCAGGGTAACCAGAAGCATAGCTGTAATGTCCAATATTTTTACCACTTTCCAGATATTGTCACTACAAATAAGCCGACATAAAAGCATCCAGGAAACAAGCATACCCTTCATAGAAACCATACATCCAAATAACATTTAATGGAACTAGAGGGCGGGGGAGGGGGGTAGCTATTACGGATTGACTGCACCCAGCATAAAAGTCTTAAAGATGTAGGTTCTAAGTTTGAGTCTTCCATTTACTTGCTGCCTGGCCTAGAACAAGTTATGTCAGCACTACTAGGCCTCAGTTCAAAGGGGATCAGGATACCGACCTGGCAGGTCTGTAGGCTGTGGACTCCATCCACTGGGCTGCAGGATCAGCGGGAACAAGGGCCGAGGTCTCTCTTGCTCACCGTTATATTCCCAGCACCTAGCATAGGGCAGACAGGCAAGCAGAGGCGTTAAGAATTCGCCGAAGGAACGCGTGGATAAAGAAGGACCATATGAATTAGGTTCTTAAAGTAAATGCCAGCTTCCACCCTTCATCCCTGTATTTTCTGCCGCGCTCTAGGACCAAGCCCTTGGAGCTGAACGTGGGAGACTGTCCACAGGCCCCCACTGCAGTCTAGGGAGGAGGCACGCGGGCCAGAGACACCCATTTCTTTTCGCCGCCGCCACTCTGGTCCCACTCTGGCGCCACGGGGCTGGCCATCCTCGCTCCGTGATTGAATCTGGTCCGCAAGATGGCCGGACCAGGAATGAAGGGGGCACGCTTTCCCGTTCCCTCTCTCCCCCATCCCCCAGCAGGGCCGCCAGCGGGGCAGGCTCCCGAACCCGCAAAGACAAAGGTCGGGAGACGCGGGCTCCTCTGGGGCCTGGGTGTCGCCCCTTTGAAAGCAAATGGGAACGGGGGCTGCGGCAGCCATGCTAGCGGGGTCTGCAGCGCCTCTGCTCACAGCCTGGGGAGCGGGAAGAGGACCCGGCTGCACGGACACCCAGTTGCCCCATCTGCCGCGGACTCCCCGGAGCGCCTGGCGCATCCCAGGCCTCGGCTCACCCCAGCTGCGCGCTCC